TATATTTTGGGCCTCGATAATTATAGTCTGCACATTTTCTTTGCAAACGTGGATACATGTTTACTGTATGTCTAACACTTGCGTTTTGATGACATGGACAAATGAAAAAAATGGTTCACTGGGATTATCCTGATTATTATAGGTAGGTAGTCTGGATTTATTATTGATTATTCATATTTTTGTAGTCATGTTCATCAAAATGAGTTATTGTGACAGTCCTATTCAGAAGTCAACATCTTTTCCCCTCCACAGAAATATAATTTGACCTAAGGCTTTTCTGGTTAACATTTTGATTTATTATCAGGCTACTGTATGGATATGTTAGCTGTGTACATCAGCAGCAGCAAAAACTGAAAAAAAACCATCCAAAAACTATCTCTTCTATAATACACAAATGAACAGAGCTTTAGATCTTGCTGACTGGAAAAGTATGATGGAACTTCAGATCTATAATAATGAGGTTATATGTTCGACATCAATGTAATGCGTGTTCTAATTCAGACTAGACCTGGGAAGGGCCAACGTGCTGCCACTGTCCATGCTGTGCTTTTTATTAAATCATGATAGTGCACTGGTGGGAGCAGGTGGAGCGGCTGTTTACAGAGCGACTGTGTTTAGACGCTTCCTCCCAGTGCACTCACGCTGCTGCTGCTGCTGCTGCTGCTGGAGTGGCCGTACTGTACGCGTTTACGTGAAGGATGGGTGAATGTAAGTGTGTGCGGAGGCAGTAGCAGCGCTGGGTCAGAGGTTACTAGTGTTTGTGTTTCAGTGTCAGTGAAGTGTGCTTCACTCAAGATTTATGATCATTGTGTCTGGGAGGCTGCAGAGCGGGGGATAATGAAGACAGATCAGGGTGCTATCTCTCTCTCTGGGCACCACTGGAAACACGGCCCTTGGCCTCTGCCGCTCTCGTATCATTAACTTCAGCAGTGACATCATAACGCACTGGCCTCACATCCATCCTGACACTGTGTTCTGACCAAGTCCAAGCAGCACAAGCTATTCCCCTCAGTAGTCAATCCAGCACACAGCACTAAGCTTCTCTGGGTTTCTGAAGATATGAAATATTCATGGAAACATTGTACTGTGTCGTGCGTTCCCAGTTTGAATTTTGCATTCACATGGTTATGGAGAAGCAAGCCCTGGGGCTGCGTGAGGAGGAGCGGAAAGGAGCTGAACAGAAACAGAGAAAATGGTAACGTACATATTGTACATATTATGTCAAATGGCACCAATCATTTCCACTGAACACCAGTGTTAAAAGAGATTCAAGCGGAACTTCCAAAAATGTGGATGCCAATCACTATGACCATTTGGTACAGACTTGAGGTCGAATTTTTGGTTTTTTCAGGACCTTTATTATTCCTTTTCACTTATACTGCAAATGAATATTCTATATGCATTCACAATGTGTTTAAAAGTGGAGGGCACTTTTAAATTATGTATACAACTTCATATACAACTACAATACAAAATGTAGGATTATTTGCCCTTTGTTTAAGATAAAACATGAACATATCACAAATAAGTATTCACACCCATTATTTCAAGTTCTGTCAGATAGAACCTTGTACGCACAGCTATTTTCTGGTCCTTTCTAGTCCAGAGATTTTCAATTGAAATCTGGGCTCTGGCTGGACGCCTGGGCCACTCAAGAACATTCACAGCCGTTTCCCGAAACTGCTCTTTTGGCGGTATTCTTCAGGTCGTTGTCCTGTTGAAATGTGCAAGTAAGGCCCCAGTCTTACGTCCAGAGTGATCTGGAGCAGGTTTTCATCCAGATGTCTCTCACATTGCGGAATTCATCTTTCCCTATCCTGGTGTCCTGGTGGTTTTGAACTTTTACTTTTCCTAATGATGGAGCATATTGTGCTCTTCGGGAGTTTCACTGCTGCTTCAATGTTTTTGTATCCTTCCCCAGATCTGTGCCTCAATATAATTCTGTTTCAGACGTCTGCAGACCTCATGGCCTGGCTTCTGCTCTGACAATCCATGTCAGCAGTAGGACCTTAAATAGACAGGTGTCCCTCTCCATCTACAGGTGTGTTCCAGTCAAGTCAACAACAGCAGTCAACAACAATAGTAGGAACAATAATCAGGTTGTATCAGAACTAAAAAGTGTTGAGTGTCATAGCAAAGGTGTGAATACTTATGCATGATTAATAAATAATTACAACATTTTGAAAGTGGAATGTCTATCACTGTATACTTTATTTGAAATTACATGATCTGGATCTGCAGCTGGTACTGTTCCGAACCTCAGGAACCATTTTTGGATTGAGTCCACTTTGTCCCTTATCCTTAATTACATTCATATTTACATGTAGCACTTTGGAAAAGGAGACCGACATCCTTTCGACAAACAATCTAAAAAGAACTGAACATGGAAGTATTATTTTAAAGATTGGATGCAAACGACACAAAGAGCTGAGGCCGATGTAGAGGTGAGAAAGTGTGCACAGCGCTGGTGCTTGTGGCAGCAGGTTGTAATTAGAAACAAGATGCCTTTAATGAGATCACTAATTCCACACGTTCAGATTGATGTCATGCGAGTATGGGGCTGTATGAAGCGAGGCAGGGGAGCAGGTCAGCACACACCTACACACATGATGGGTTTCCATGAGCCAGTCACATACAAGTCACATAAATATACACTCACTGGCACTCTCGGACTTACACAGTTTAACACACATCCTGAGAAATGAAGGAGCTCATTCATCACGCCTGGCAAACTGCACTCATTTAGGGTCCAAGCTAAAACAGGCAGAGGAATACAGCACGCACTAACTCCAAGTAATGGAGAAATGTATGCGTTAAAGTCCAAACTGCTTTAACTACTAATGTATTCTCAAACAAAAACCAGGCTTGAAATGGAATGAAAAGGACAAAAGATCCATCTAATCCAGAAATGAAAGAAAGAATAGAAGAAGCATGTGCCTTATTATTAGGGTGTATGCGTTTGGAAGCAGTTATGTGCCAGTACGTGTGTTCTGCCAGCTCTCCAACATGTGTGTCCAATGAAAGGTGAACAGCTCTCCTGTCTATACCTTCCCCCCAAAATCAGCCATGATGTCACCGTGAACCCATCCTGAACCCGGCTCTGTCAAATAGCATTACTTCTTCTCTTCCCCCTCAGTTTGTGTGCCTTTCTTCAGGACGTCTCACCAACTCAACTCGAAAATATGTTAAATCATCATTAAATCATTCCAACATATTTTAACAATGAAGCCACTATATTACAAGCAAAAGTAGCCTCCTTGGGTTAGTTTGGAGTTTGTCACCGCATAAAATGATGTCTTCATTGTTCATTGATTGATTGAATTGTTTGTATTTATTTATTACACTTCACAAGAAGCCTTTCATAAATGCAACACAGACCCTGTTATTCACTAACTTGGTACTGGCAGAAGTACACTTGTAACCCCCCTTTGGTTGGGTTTTATAGGGAAGAGTATAAATTCCCAAATAGTACTGCTGCTGACAGAGGAAAATGCCAGCCTGTTTTGATCATCATTCATAAACTTTGCTAAAGCTGTGGTTTACAAAAAAAGAGGGCATGCGTAAAAGCCGGAATGATGAGGAATAAGGGAGAATGCAAATGAAAGGGGGAGAGGGAAAAAGGATAGGGGTAGTGGGGGCAGCGAGAAGGCAGCCAGAGAGCCACATATGGAAGTGATTCTGTAATTACTGCAAATCTGTGAGCTCAAAAGGAAAGGTCTTCTTTTCCATGCCTCCTTCCCTGCATATAAAACTGGACTTGTGAGAAAGTCGTTCTTGCAATGAAATAAATAGTTTTGGAATGTCCAAAGCGGGCTCTATAGGTGGCATGTGACTCCATAATTCACTCAGAAATGTTGACACAATTTACTTTTGGGAAACTTCACTAATTTGCTTTGCTGTTAATTCCCTGTAAATTGTGGCTGTTACTCAAAGCAGTAGACGCCTCTCATCACACACAGCCTTCACATGAGGAATAACATGAGCATAAAGCAGACATTCAACAAGGTGAAGGGGGAGAAGAGACTGTCAATGATGAGAAGTGTCTGAGCCTTGGGCAACAGCGCAGTGCAGGTGTGTTGGTTGGCACACACTACACTTCTGCTCCATCCCGAACGTAGAAGCAGTCTGTAATTATCTTGTGCCCTGCCATAACGTGTTCGCATACAGAGCTAAGCCGCCGAGTGCACTACTCAACAGGATTGACGCAATATACGTAATTTATTTATGACAAGAAGTGATTTATGAAGAGGGATGTGCTTACCTCGGTTGCCCGCCGTGTGTTTTGACTCATATACGTGAGCGCGATCTTCTCTCAACTTTCAAACGCGATTAGTGTCGTAAGCACACGAAGCGAGTGGCTGAGAATAAGACAAAGCAAAGTTACCAACCACACGCGGCTGTCACAGAAAGGTCTCTTTGTTGACTGTCGTTTATATTTACGCCTCAGCGATCAAAACAGTCATTTGTCAGCTTACCTTCGACTGTTGCCAATCCGTCACTGTGTCCCACAGCAGCAGCCGATCAGAGGCGTAGAGGCTGAGCGTGAAACTAAAGCCGAGCGTATTTCTGACGATCTGGCGCCCCCTATTGGCTGTGAGAATAGAACACCTCTCACAACCAATAATACCAGCTAATAGTACGACACTCACAATTCATTTCGTAAATAAACATCAACGGCTCTACCACACCAGAAACGTTCTTGTAGTTAAAGTGATATAGGTATAAGTATAGGCCATGCTTTGCTTATACAATTAATATGCCAACGTAAGAATCCTTTCTATTCGAATTGACGCCAACTTGTAGACACTTCTCCACCTCAATGTTTCCACTAGAGGGTGCTTTGCTCAGGTTCGTTCTTTCTGGTTTCCAGTGTGGCATTCAGACCCTACGAGAGACTGGCCACATTGTAATTAATTGAAATAGATTTGTGTTGTATATGTGAGATGTTAGTGTCGTGCTTGTGGATAGTGTTGAATATGTGAGATGTTAGTGTCGTGCTTATGGATAGTGTTGAATATGTGAGATGTTTGTGTCGTGCTTATGGATAAGCGCAGCCTCAATTCTCAGTGTGAAAGAACTATTATTGTATCTTACTTCAGTGACACAAACGGCCAAGTTGGAGCTCGCTGATGTTTGGCACGCCTCGGTGTTTACCCTGAGCTGCGTGCTGCTGGTCAGCTGGTATCACGGTGAGCCACGCCTATAGTCCATGTGCGCCATGCTCCTGCCTTCATCCCACTCCGCACGCGTTCTGGACTTTGCATAAAATGTGTATCAGTAGGGCAGCTCTCCCCGTGGCACATGTAGCCAGCACATGTACTGTGGCTTTACCGAACACATAACGCTAGAATAAACTCCCTTCAGCTCAACAGCCCCTCCAATGAAAACGCACACGAGTGAGAGGGGAGAGAGAACGGAGTCCCCGTGCCTCATAGACTGGGCCAAATCCCACATTAATTAACAGACAAAACACAAGTGCGAGAGAAGGCGGTCACATTTTCTACTTACTTGCAAACGTGATTGATATGGGTGTTTGTATCAGTGGGTGTGTGTGTCACGGATGTGCTGACTCTTCGTTCTTGGAGTTCAGTAGAATCATTTCTTGACTGTACCACACTCGCAGGTGAGACGCAGAGCGGAGCGCAGAACACTTTTCCTCCAGCTGAACAGAGCTACCTGACTACTTCAAAACTACGAAGGTGCAAGGCAGTTTTTGGATGTGGGTTTGTCCTTCCCACGAACACGATATTTTGCTCATAACTTGATACAGCTTTATCAGCTCTACACCATTAATTTTGGTCCAGATTAAACCGAGACACCTCTGTCAACACCTATATCGCAACAATGGATAACAGTCCTGGTAAGTCGAACTTACGAACTTAACTGACTACTTAGTATACATCATAATATAATATGATGTATACTCATATATAATAAATATGTGTGTGTATATATATATATATATATATATATTATATTATATATATATATATATATATATATATATATATATATATATATATATATATATATATATTATATATATTATGTATGTATATGTATGTATATGCATGTATATGCATATATATGTATGTATATGCATGTATATGTACATATACATACATATATATTTATGTATATATATATACACATACACACACATATATATATATATATATATATATAATGTGTGTGTATTTGTGAAGTATGTACATGTATACTTATATGTAAAAATTGATGCCGAAAGTTTATGGTTTATTTGTTGAATGTACTATGGGTCAGGCTTCTGTTCTCCCACTTCCTGTTTAATTCCATAAAAACAGACTCACGTGGAGCTTAAATGCGCTGCATCTCTCTGTAAACAAGAAACCACTGTTTGTCGCTGACTCATTACTGCCCATCACCACGATACTATCAGTGAAGTGGCATCATGCAGTGCCTCGATGAGCCATGCACATGGGATTGCACTTTTTACTGGAAGACTGCACTTTTTGGACAGTCAGCATTAATGTCTTCTTTGTATGACACCAGTGCAAATAATACAAAAATACAATACAAAGAAATAAATGGTATATAGAGAGAGAGAAAATGATATATATTAATTAAAACAAAACACAAATGCTGCTGTCAGCTCCTCTCAACTCAAGAAGTTGTTTTCAGTAGCAGCTGGCCAGTGAAATTATACTAAAAATGTCGCCTACAGTAACTGTTGAGCCTGTTATACTTTCCATCCCTGCAGGTTAAATTAATAGATCAAATTAATAGATAAATTAGAATCAATTAGTCAATCTTTGACTATCCATGGGATTTGTTCTTATTATAAAACTGGTGTTTATGAATATGTGTCATAATGAAAGACTGCCCAAAAAGGGTGAAACAACATGTTTAGATTTTAGCTTATTCTTTTTAGTGAAAAGAGTGACAACGGTGGACTTCCTGTAGCTTGTTTACGTTGTTTATCATGTTCCACATTTATTATGCAATATGAAATAGCCTATATAATATGCACAGAACACTTGTCCAGTGAGCATTTCTGCTGCGATTAAATATGCAGATAACACTATTGCAGGTAACACTATAACCCTATATCCAGAAGGTTTACCCAAAGAACATAGAACACATGCATTCACGTTCTTTTGACAAATGATGACGCATAACCATCCACATAAGGTTAGGGAGTCCCATGGAGGTTCACAACTTCAAACATGTGTACCAGGGCCAGTCTCTGCCTCACGTGCGCTGGCTCTAAAGCCGCGTGCGGAGCGGTGGAGCGCCTCCTCCTGGTGCGCTTCGCCTGCAGTGCGGAGAGAGAGAGAGCTGGTCAGTGGGTCAGCTATTCCCTGCCTCGACTTTGCTTTCCTTTTTGTCACGTTTTCCTGCCACATGCACAATTCAAAGTCACAAGGGTGATTAATGTGAGTCTACTTCAAAAACAGAAAACGCCTACAGTCTCAAAAGATACAGTACAACTGTTAAATGGCTTATTGTATTTTATTACCGTGTGTACAACTATATACTATAGCTGAAAGCCAAGAAGCTCGGAATGAATTGGTCAGGAAATACGAAAAGTGAGTTTGAGGCGCACAACATCTGAAGTCTGAAGTTCTATCATTCTCACGTGTCGACCATGGTGTGAATCGTTGCGATGTGTTTTGTGTTTGGGATGTAGTAGAGTGCAGGAAGTCTGCTGCATGGCTCTGGTGTGCTCTGGCATGAGTCAACAAATCCCCAAACACGTGCTGCATTTGTGAAGGATTAACCGAACTGATGCGTGTCGCAAATACCTGCAGCCACATGGAGAGCAACACCTATGTGCTGCTATGGTTGACAAGTGAGAAAAGCTGCTCATATTGAATTGCTGTGCGTAATGCCAGTGTAAAGACTGTTGTTGGTAGGTAGGCTACACACCTCACGCATGGAGGTTGCAATACCCCCTGGCATTGGTGTCTTTTTAAAGTAATAGGAGGTGCGATCATTCTGTCTCTCAAAAGCATGGGTGTGTCTGTGTTGTTGCATCCGGAACATTGACAGTAAGATCTGGACACGAGACTGGATTTGTGAGGGCAGTAACCATGTCAGGAGTACACGCATGTGAGGCGGCGGTCAGGTGTCGTGCTTGTTGGCTGCATGGCGATGGGCTCAGTGCCAGCAGAGCCAGGCTATTATTGGAGCGGAGGAGGCAGACCCCACAGACACGTGAGGCCGTGTCTCAGCTCATCCACAACGCATGACTGGAAGCGCAGGGGAGAGAGGATACATGTGTCAGAGAGGGACATGTGCCGTCAGCTAAAGGCGCACATGAAACACATCAAGTCAGTACTGTTTTGGCATGGTGCAAATTGTTCACAAATCTACGCCTTTTCACCCCATGTGTGTTTCTGTGCTGCCTACATTGGATTCAACTATTATTAGCGTCCACATTTCCAGGTTGCGCCTTGTAAACTTCACGGGAAAAGGCAACGACAGCAGATGTTCTTTTTCTCTGTGGCCCTAAAGTTGTTCAACACCACACTTAGATTTTTGCTGACATGTGAACAATTATCTTATGATTTGTGTGATAACCTTGCTATTTTCATTAGTAACTGTATTATTAATTATTACTCTCTGATATAAAAAGTAAACAAAATTCCCTCTGTCTGTTCTCCAGGAGGAGGAGTGATCCTGTATGCTGGTTCCACCGGTAGTTTGAGCCCCAGTCCAGGCAGTCCGTCTAGTGGATACCAAAGCCAATCCCCCTCATCACACTCCCAGCCATCGTCTCCTGAGGAGGTCACTTTCACAGAGATTGGGGCTCTGAAGCGGAGGTCAGGGTCCACTTCCAAGTTCGTTTTCCAGTTCCCGGATGTGTGCAGTGTCTCCCAAGCAGCTGCACCAGTAACTTCTCACTACACGTATGCACATGCCATTGCTGCAAAGAGGCCATGTGGATTTCAAGGCACATTTACAAGTATGTTTATAAATAGCAACCAATCGAGCATTCATTTAATGTTTGTTCAAAAATAACAATATTTTATTATTACTTTTTTCAGAGACAGGAGAAATGGTGCTTCTCTGCAGAGTCTGCGGGGACATTGCTTCTGGTTTTCACTATGGTGTACATGCATGCGAGGGTTGCAAGGTATGCATTTGAAAATATACTGCAATTATTGTTTAATAACTCTTCATATAAAACACATTGTTAATCGTCTTTACATATTTGGTTATTCAGGGATTCTTTCGTCGCAGTATCCAGCAGAACATCAACTACAAGATGTGCGTGAAAAATGAACATTGTCAAATCATGCGGATGAACAGGAATCGCTGCCAACACTGCCGTTTCAAGAAATGCATCTCTGTTGGCATGTCTAGAGATGGTGAGACAACCTGTTACATGCTTCCTTTGTCTTGTGATTATACAAAAAAGGATAAACACAAAAAAGTTTCAACAATGTGCCTCAGAAACTCATGACCAACCACCTCAGATATAAAAGTTTATATTTTACTATAGTGGGGTTTCTTATGTGTTTCATTATACCTCCTACTCTCATAGTATCGCTCCCTGTACAGTAATGCTCTTCTTCTTATGCAGAACATCTTCTCTCTTACATCTTCCTCCTCAGACAGTGATTTATGAGAATAGAAAATATACATCCCTAACACCATCTATCATCTGAATCCTGCACCAAATGCACTGATTATTTTAGGAAAATGGAGCTGGGTCAACTTGATTACCTTGTGTTCGCATTTAAGCTATAGTAACAAAATGTAGGAAACAGCAAAGCCTATGGCACATTTTTTTTATAGCGCCAACATTCTCAAACTAAAAATAAAAACTGTTGTGTTGACCTAAAAAAAATAATACATTATGCTCACACATCTTGACCTACTTTGTATACTTTCCACCCAATATGATTTCTTCTCATTATGCCCCTCCACTACCCGGCCTTCCCTAATCTAGTAAATAGGTTGGTGTTATTTTTGCATGTGCTTGACACTTTTGGTGCACCGAGGTGGCAAACTGGAACTCTGAAATAACAAACAGTTAGGTCAAACCTCTCTCAGAGTTTTCGATATGTTAAGAACCCCAACCTACAAACCCTCTTTCACTTGGTTTCTTTAGCACAAACAGGAAAACCACATGCAACTGCCTATAGACCACAACAAATTGTACACACATCTGGATTTCAGGCAACAAGGGGCTTTACGCTCAATTACTGTAATATAATTTTTCTTGTTATCTTATGCCCCATCCCAATCTGTAAATTATAAACATTTACTTATTTATTATGGATTGTCCCTTGAGATGAATTATCCTTTTTTTCGAGCGGGTGCAAGGGGTCTGTCTGCCACTGTGCATTGATTATGATTGTGATTTTTCTTAGAATCTTTGAGAAATGTACAATATACTTTTGGAGTAACTTCTGTCCTTCTGGGATGGATTTAGTTTTTCATACAGTAGTTTTAGTTCTGCAGGTATGTTGTTATAACACTATAGACTTTCCTGATGCATAGTTGTACTTCTCACCATCTCATTTCCAGTGAGGGTGACTGTGACATCACGTCCATGCTGCTCCAATGCCCTACTTTCAAGCAGAAAGCGGGAGAGCAAGAGACAGGAGTGGATAGAGGATAGGATGGGCAGATGGAGCCATGGGCTCTATATATAGCCTCTCCAGCTGATAGTTACCGTGGGAAAAAGGAAAAAGTTAAACCAAAATAAAACTACAGGGAATGTTCTAATTTATTATGTGCATGTTTGTGCGCAAGCATGGACTGAAATAAGGCTGTGAAAAAGTAGCATAACCTGTCATTTGTGACATGTCAAAATTATTGTTGGACATATTTCAAAGCTGCACTTTATTCGATTATTCATAAATATGTAATAATTTCTCTATGACTCACACGTTCTTTGTATAAAAGTAGAAAGAAAGTAATAAGTATTAATTTGTAATTCTGTAGTTTTGTTTCTATAGCTGTCCGCTTTGGCCGCATCCCCAAAAGAGAGAAGCAACGACTTCTAGATGAAATGCAAAGCTACATGAACAGCCTCAATGAGTCAGCTGCCATGAACATGGAATCACCCTTGAAAGAGATTTCCCACACACAGACAGATGAAGGTAATTCTCAAGAGGATATTGGAGCCATTTCAAAAGCCTACCACGATGTCTTCACCACCAGTAACAATAACTGCCAAGAAAGAGCAACTAAAAGTGCAAACATCTCCAACAACAATAATTGTCCTTCTTTGGAGGGTGGCTTTCTCCAAGCTCCCACCACTCCGAGCTATCAGTCCTGTCCTACAGCATGTCCCAGTCTACGCCCCATTTTTCATAATGACAACTTGTCATCATTCCACAACAGTGTGGACAGAAGCTGCACATATGCACTACAGATGAATCAGAACCACCACCAGAATAATCAGAACTGTCTCTCCAATCAAAAAAAAGCGAACCTCACGTCCTGCCCATGGAAATTAGCACCAGGAGCTAAAGTATTGGTATGTGTTGAATATGTATTCTTTATTTAATTATGCCTGTTTATTTGATATTTGATTATAACAATATTTTTCTCCATCAAGGCCTGTCCTCTAAATACATGCCCTGTATCAGGGGCTAACTGCTCTAGTCAAGAAATTTGGGAATCCTTCTCAAATTGTTTCACTCCAGCAGTGAAAGAAGTTGTCGAGTTTGCCAAAGGAATCCCAGGATTTCAAGACCTCAGCCAGCATGACCAGGTCATGTTGCTCAAATCTGGCACGTTCCAGGTACAGGACACATTTCACTAAGCAGATGAAAATCAAATGTTTTATGGTGCTCACAATCTCCTTTTGTTTTTGTCCTTTGATAATTGTCGCCAGGTGCTGATGGTACGCTTTTGCAGCTTGTTCAATGCTGAAAAGCGTACAGTGACTTTCCTAAATGGACAAACTTACCCCTTGTCTATCCTCCGGGGTCTTGGCATGGGCTCATTACTGGATGCCATGTTTGAATTTAGTGAGAAGTTGGGTTCTTTGGGCTTAGAGCCCGATGAAATGGCTCTCTTCATGGCCGTGGTGCTGGTCTCTGCAGGTAACCTGAGCTTTTTTTGTAACAAATGGTTAATATTACGGAATATTTATCCTTCACATTGTCTCTGTTTGGTCAGACCTCTCGGGGATCTCTGACATGCAGGCCGTGGAGCAGCTGCAGGAGGGTCTGATCCGAGCTCTGCGCTCACTAATCACTCGCCGCCGTCCAGATGACTCTGGCCTCTTTTCCAAACTTCTTCTTCGTCTCCCCGACCTGCGCACACTCAACAACCTACACTCTGACAAGTTGCTGGCTTTCTGTATTGATTAATTGAAGATGCTCTTGAAAATGGACACAAATACATCATGAGGTGTTCTCCACTCAGACACATGGGATTTGTTCACTGCATATAACTGCTGAACATTCAGAAACAACACTTTTCTCCTTTTACAGATCTTTCCAGCTTCCTTCCAGCCTATTTATTGTATTCCTTGTACCATACTGTATTCTTAAGTATCAGAAAGGGGCATCATACAATGTACATTGTAAACTGTTTAAGGGACCATTTCTGATGTCAAAAATTCCCTCAAGAATTCCTTAACTGCCAGATAGCAAGCCTATATGTATGTTTCACACCATTTATATTATGAATGTAAATAACAATTTCAGTATGTCACGTTAACAATTCAGAAATTATCTTCAGTAAGTGGGGAGTAAAACCAATTCAAAGGCCTGAAGTTTATAGGCTATTTTTCCACGCACAATACATAGCCTAAAACTCGACTTTGTGCATGCTGCATTTTGTAGTTATTTATTAAATGTATTTAACCGTTAATGACTGAAATATGGTGACAGATTGTTTCAGTTTGGTTAAAAGAGGAATGTATGACCTTTGTTGTAAAAGAGAGTAAGGCCATGACGGTCTTCTGTAGTGGCTGATTCTGTGATAACCTTCATAACCCTAATACTAGCACTATCCCAGAAATTACCACAGAAGGCCAGCCTCTGGCCGCATTGTTTGTCATACAAACACAAACTGTTTAATGTTTGACTATGGATGACTGAGCGCATGTATATTCTGTAAATCTTCCAAATTAGAAATTATTATATAAAGTTGAAATTATATGTTGACTATGCTGTGTCCTTATTTCATGTCTTTAGGCTGAGCCCTGTGATGTGGAATGTACCACTTTGGAATGTACATGAATACTAGGTTCATAAAGAGCTCAAATGTTAAGTGTTGGTATAGTAACCACAATGAAAGTCAGACAATAGTTAAGAAAATGTAAATTGATTTAGTTAAAGATGCCAAGAATTATAACCACAAATACAATACAATACAAAATAAAAATAAAAAAAATTAAAAAAAAAGGCGCCTTTAAAATAACCCAAAAAATAAACCCTTAAACTCTGGTGAGTGCACTCAAGGTCTAGATGTTTTGTTCAAGGTTGTCGGCTGATAGGGTCCTACCGCAGCCGATAATCCATGCGGTTTGTGATGGGATCGATCCAGTTCTGGCTCAGTTGGGGTGGCTCACCATCTAGTGGTCTTTTTCAAAGAAGTTCCCAAACCGCATTAAAAAAGACCTGACCTGTATTAAAAGACAGGCTTATAATTTTCTCGCTCAAGTCATGACAATTTATCTATTTCACTTTTTCCAATATAGGTACAATATATTTCTCATACACATAGCAAAACAAAAAGATAATTTCTGTATGCAAACATTTTCTGATTACTCAATTACATAAAACTTCTGTAGGATTATTTAATCCCATCAAAACATAAACAATAAACAACAAGCTTCTTTGTAACAGGCAAAGTTCCTCACCGATTCACGTCTACTTCAGAACAAAGTGACGTCAAGGCTCTGGGTCGCCTGTATCATTGATATGGAGCGGTTGGGAGCTTGTTGTAATAAACAGCCAACACATCAGCAATCAAGCTATTCGTTCAGCTTGACTCTTTCTCTCTCTTAAGGGCACGGTCACAGTAGGTTACTGGCTTTTGTCTGCTCTGAAACATTGGAGAAGTCCGTTGGTCATTTGCGGACGTTAAAGAAGCTATACCCGATTTCCTTTCTCTAAGTAGTTCATAAAAATGCTTATTACTACATGCAAATTGTATTATAATCCGTAATTTAATTGAAAACTTGAGCTCATTGATTCAGCTTGTGGAAGAATTCAGGCCGTAAAAAGTGCTGAGTCTTAGTTGAGTGTGTTCACAGTAAAGTGACAATTGAAGTTTCTGGACTTTAAAAGGTTATTACTTAAAAACTAAAATTACTTTCATAGATTGGAAGAAAGATTTCAAACACAGACACATTGAAGAGATAGTGTGGGAAAAAACTAAAGGAAAGATTGACATAAAACATTTTTAGCAACATTTTAAACGACCAAATCAGCCTCTGATTGGACCATTCTACTGTGACGCCAGTTACATAGAAAATAAAATGTCCTCAGTCTAAAAAAGCAGAAGATGAAATCCCACAATATTTACATGGTTAACACAACAGAAGGAAATCACTTGATATAAAAAGGAATCGTGAAAAAATAAATATGAATGAATCAATTTAATGACCCCTGAAAAATGTATAACGGACGTGATGAGGACGGTCCTCTTTTCTCTAAAAATTAAACTTGAGAAGAAAAAAAATCTGGTCTGTTTTCACATTTAATTGGTTGACAATATGAAAGTATCACTTTGCATCTACTTTGTGTAAAAAAGTAGAATCTCTGAATCAAATGTGGACATCTGAAAATACCTATCAAACTTCCACAAAGCCCATTCCGTCAAATCATCACGTCTGTTACATAAAATAAACAGGGCCGCTATTGGAAACTTGTCTAATGTATAAAACAGTTATGTTCTAGCAACTTCTAAAGGACAGAGGAGGTGCTTGGAAACATGAAAAACATAAAATATCTTCTGATTATTAAAATCTAGTTTTTGGCCTTTTGTCACACTTTTGTGCCCTTTAGTGTGAACAAGCCTCTAAAATTTCGATGCTGCAGGGCAGGCAACGTAAGGGCCTTGCGGTGACCAACGCGTTGCACAAGTGACGTCATGTCACCTCTGTAAGCTCCGCGCCCATAGACTGTATATATTAACGGACAGAGTCACGCCTATCTCCGCCGTTCTAACCAATGGGCCAAAAAATTTGCTCTACTGGAGCAATCCAAAATGGCCGCGAGTGGTCCCACCCACAAGAAAATCGTGAAAAACGCATCTGCGCATGCGTCAGCCGGCGCAGCTCCATTCATTTGAACGAGAGACTTCAAAAATTCACAGCAAGTAAACTAGAGTGGACCAAAAAAATTCACCCCCCTCAGCATTGACACACATGTGGAACGGAGCTTTGGGCCAAGAGACAACTTTTGGTCCATCCTGTATAGACGTTTTCGAGAGGTCTGCCAACGCTATATGTTCGCATTGGCTAATTCTTCTTCTGGGTCCACCCCCATCGGCCCGGGGTGGTATTGCAAGCATGTCAGCGCACGTCATTTTGGCCACTTTTGAGCCGGGACCCGCCCCCACTGGAATTAACCCCTTGCATGTGACGTCCCGGCCACGCCCACTCTCCATGACAGACGGCGGAAGTCTAACTGCGAGCCTTCGAAAAGTTAACCAAAACAACCTGTTTCACAGAATAACAGCCAAAACTCTGATATTTGGCAGTGCGGTTGGTTCTACTAACAGGCAAGGACATAAGACAAATGTGTCTTTTACCTGCTCGTCATGAAGACAGAAGACGACAATGGTCACAAGATAAATCAATCAGAATTTTGTATTTAATCTCTTTCCATTAATTTATTTAGAGGACCATGACACAACAAACGCTTGAAGTCAAACGTGTACTCTTACTACTGTCCGATAAGTCCGCTACAAAATTGAAATTTCCTCACTGTGGTACAAATAAAAGATCTCTTATCTTATCTTAGACGTCAGTTGCATTTTTCACTGTTTTCCTCTCTGTCAATATGTATCATGTTTGGCTGTAGACAGACAAGTGCATTGCTAATGTGCTAATGCTACCAGCTAAATTTACATTTAAACCTGCTCCAGTGTAAGGGGATGCCTTGTTAACGACATAATGATAAAGATCATGTGGGGTGACCTCGGGCAAAATTGGACATTGAATTTAATTGATAAAATTGACTGGGGGGAGAAGGTACAAGTCAACATCCAGCTCAGCCATCCTTCACTTCTCCAAATACCGCTCTTTGTGAGCCCTGACAAGATGTCCTACTTTCACCGAAAACGTAATCGAACATGTGCTTGAAGAAGCCACGTCTCGATTTAGGAGAGGAAGCTCTGTTTTTAAGTGTTGTAGTCCGTTTTGCTTTTGCCGCAATGCTAGTTTCCACTACTTCCGTTGTAAGCTCCTTCACAATCACGTGACTTGATGACGTCGATGCATCTGGTCAATAGCTCCTTTAAGTTGCGGTGGTTACTACAAACTAAAATAACTCTTACCGATTACCTGTCAACTTTAACTCCAGGCCAGCAACAGGACTTCTCTTTTGGCTTGGATTGATGTAGATTTTCTTCTGATTTGCGCTTTTGATTGTCTCCGAAATGTTAAAATGTTGGCTTTGCGTGTGTCGCTGCTTGACCCCAGTCAGAGCGAGGAGGAGCGGGGTCGCGTGCACCATGGAGCAGTTAACTGAACGTAACGTTTTGGCTGTTGCTTACGTGACTTTTATGCTGCATTACAGTGAATTTTGTTGGAACATATACAAATAAATAAATAAATAAAAGTAAGCAAAGTACACATTTTTCTTCTTTGTGGTTTACATGTAAATTATGAATGTTGTGTCAGGAATGAACCAGACAGAGACGGATCGTGGTGCGCCAAACTCTGGAAGTTTATTTAAGTGTCTCTCAAGTTCCAGTGGTTTCAATTGTTTCTTTCTCTCAGACAAAATCTAGTCAGTACACAGTTTATATAGTCATTGTCACGTCACACATCGAAAGACATACGTGTCACACAGAGACATCATAGTCAAAGCATGGAGTCATCATCAGAGTCCTTGTACAGTCCTGCACGTAGGCCATATTGCTATCTAATACTAACAGTTACAGATGCAAATACATTATAACAGTGTTGCAGAGAATAGTAATGTCCTACGCTTTCTGTTAGATTAATCCATCAAATCAGAGTACTGTATTCTGAATACCTTTGTTTTTATACTACATTATTACTCTTGTATATAAAAATGTATCACTGTTTTTGATGCATTATAGTTATTGTTAATTTGGAAAGGTTTTGTTTAAAACACTTGAACGTAGCCGAGCAGTGGTTTGCGTGGAATTTGAATTAATTGCACATATAAAAACAATAATCCAGAAGGGGGAACGCAATTGCATTGAACAAAGCAATATTTTAATTTTATTTGGGGGAAAAGGGTAAAGTAAGATTGCCACCCAACGGAGAACCAGGGTATTACACCGGATCCCGGAAGTGCGACGTGTGTTGTTAAGTGCGTCTGAATGCTACTGTCTGAATAGTCTGAATACCTCGTTTATCATACCTGTACACTTTGAGGTACCGCAAAATATTATGGACGAGTGGCCGAACAGATAGGTAAGCATAAAAAGTAGATAGTTTTGTATGACTGCTCCAATGCTGGATTGCCATAGAGCGAAAAGAAAGTGAATGTGTTTTAATGAGGATGCTCCGATGGTATTTTTGGGGACCCGATTCCGACCACATAGCTGATGCTGATACCACCTATTGTGGCATTATAGCTAATGTTGGTTAAACATTAAACTAATGTGTGAACTAAGTAATACAACTATATTACAGAAACATTGAGAACACAATTCTTGTGATTACTCTCTGAGTATAATTTTCCTGAATTCAAGTCTACTGGTATTGGATGGTGTTTGTCGATACCAATACCAGTAAAAAGTGCAATACCCAACTCGTTGCCTCCTTATTTGTAGTTGCTTTTGATTAAAGATCAACCGCAATCACCTGCTAACATTGTATTCATCTTACACACAAAATACTTGAAAAAAATTGTTTTTTATTAGAAGAAACTCATCAAGCCGTTGGATTCCTGTGGTCCTGGATACCACAGCCATTGAAAAATGTGCCCACGTTCAAGTGCCTTGGCACAAGAACTGGTGAGAAACTCAACTAGAACAGCCACATTTGCAAAATCACAGCTGTTTTGACTGCACGAAATAGAAACTAACTTGAGTTCTATTGAAAGTAAATTTCAAAACCTAAACCTTTTGCATGCCATGCTGGGGTAGAACTTTGGCTCTGCAAAACACAAACAAACTAAACCAACTAGGAAGTAAGTGTTGACTGACGGACACACCTTAAATATTGTCCCAAAGGGCTGTGCCGGACATGTGTTGTCCTTTATGCTCTGAATACAGACTCTTACCATCTGAACCAAGGTTTGCCTCGAATGAAGAGAACCATGGCTTTCATTGCCCCTCATAGTATTCCACAGCTCAATCAAATATTATCATAGTACCATCTATCTTTTTCTGAACTGTGTTTCCTAATATTTGTTTTGTACCTTGATGTGTTTTTACATGCTCGTATGAAAGAATAAACGTGTTTTTAATTATTTTGTATGTTTAATACATTCATTTGGCTGTTTCAGATGCAGAGAATGCAAATAAAGTAACTGGGACTGACCTCGCTCCCCCTCTTCACTATCATCATGTTGGTGACAGCGTATCTTGCCATAGTTTTCCTTCTGGCACTCTGTGTTGTCCTGGAGCTGACTGCACGCCGCATCACTTCTCCTGAGGAGAAATCCCCAGCAGTGGCCAACCCAGCCTTCCGTCGCTTCCAGACCTTATTTCTGCGTGCGTACCTGCTCGCCTTATGGGCAGACTGGCTCCAGGGCCCATACCTGTACAAATTGTACCGGCACTATAGCTTCCTTGAATCTCAAATAGCGATTTTATACGTATGTGGTCTGGCCTCCTGTGTCCTCTTTGCCCCCTTTTCTGGCTGGCTTCCACAAATGTTGGGCCGCAGACAAACATGTCTTCTCTTCTGCTTGTCTTACTCTGCATGTTGCCTCACTAAACTGTCTAGAGACTACTTTGTCCTTATTGTTGGACGAATACTCGGTGGACTGTCTACCTCTCTGCTGGCAACCACTTTTGAATCCTGGTATGTTCACCGTCATGTTGAAGTGCATGATTTCCCAAAAGAGTGGATTCCCAGCACTTTCACGAGAGCAGCTACATGGAACCACGGACTTGCAGTTGGGGCAGGACTGATGGCCAACCTGTTGGCTGAATGGCTGCACCTCGGCCCAGTTGCTCCTTTTCTTCTCGCTGTTCCTTCTTTAATTGGCTGTGGCTGGATAGTTCTGACAGACTGGGGCAAAGAGGAGAGTGCAGAGAATCAAGAATGTGATAAACCTCTACTATTTGGCAATACAACTGCATGTGCAGCACGTACATCTGCAAAATCCAGGTTCTCAAAAAGCGTCCTTGACGGACTACGCTGTTTATTGTCAGACAGAAGAGTATTGCTTTTAGGTGGGGTTCAGGCACTATTTGAAAGTGTTCTTTATATTTTTGTTTTCTTATGGACACCTGTACTTGATCCACACAAACCTCCACTGGGAATAGTATTTTCATGCCTCATGGCTGCCAGCATGTTGGGCTCACTCCTATACCGCCTAGCTACCTCCACACGCTACCATCTGCAACCTGGGCATGTGCTGTGTCTTTCAGTGCTTATGGCTTTCTTCTCTTTCTTCATGCTTATCTTCTCCACTGCCCCTGGTCAGCCGAGGCCACATGAATCCTTTTTAGCATTCCTCCTCCTGGAGTTGGCTAGTGGCCTGTATTTTCCTGCTGTTAGCTTTCTACAAGGACGTGTGATTCCAGAGGACAAGCGTGCAGGAGTACTTGCCTGGTTCAGACTGCCCCTTCACCTGCTGGCATGTCTGGGGCTGCTGGCATTGCATGGAGAGGTGTCTGGGACAGGAGGAGGAGAAGAAGGGAGTGGTACAAGGCATATGTTTGCAGGCTGTGCCGTTATGATGCTGGCTGCCCTGATGGCTGTCGTCAGCTTGTTCACTTTTGCCAGAAATGACACTGATCTCAAACTTGAAGGTTCCAAAGAAGGAGAGATGTTCTGAACTCACTGTCCAAAGGGTTTAAATCTGTTACTACTCTTCTAGTTGTATTGCTATTGTGCAAAACCAACCTGTCATATAGGGTTGAGCAATAATTATGCTCAGAGCACAAGGCCCTAGTAAAAATTAAGTTGAATAGCTCTGTTATATAGGTTGAACGGAACAATGTGAGCTTGTTTTTCCCCTTGAGGTCCATATGTAGCTCTGGTTTTGAGTTTTTTTCGCCAGACTATTTTAAGTGGAACTAAAAACTTCTGTTTACAAGTTGAATTAGAATGTCACACAACATGTTCAAATCTACAGTTTGATTTGAACACAGATACTATTTTAATTTTGCACAGAAAGTCCGTAGTAGTCTAGTTTTTGATGTAAAACATTTGAGCCCTTGAGCACCTGATACATATTAATTTTGGTGTTGGCGTTGGACACCCTACACTTTAGGCAGTTGGTCAGACCAAACAAAATCTCAACCTCAACTTACTTCAATTTAATGACCATGGAAAGTTACAATGTTTTGATAATTGTTTTGTACATGTCAATTTTCCATATACAAATAAAATAAAATTGTGTGAGTTTATTTTTTACTGACATCTAGGCCTAATTTGTTGTAACCAAAACTGGTAACTACTTGTAATTGGCTGTTTACAAAGGATGAAGTAAAAGCAAAGGAAGGTTTCTCACCCATCATCTGTACTTCTTAGCAAGTTTTCCCGACGTTTCGTCCTCAACCTAGCGGACTTCTTCAGGGAATGAATTCTCGGACCGCGCGTTGGAGATTTATAACCTATGGGTGTGGTAAGCCACACCCTAATCCTGATACTAACTCGTAAACAATCTCAGGTCTGCTTGATGTAGAAGGGAGCAGGTCTAACGACCCTGCTGAGGCTAACGACCCTAACTCCTTAGCATGTCACAGACCTATTGTCTGCTGGGATGCTCAAGTGGAGTGCGGGTCTCACCCCTCCTAACTCATTAGCATGTCACTGACCTTGTCCCAAGTTAGGGCGTTGTTTTTAGGATGTCGTCATAGATGCGAGGCAAAACAAATCTTAACCCTCCTCCTCTGTTAAGAGAAGGTTTTTGTTTCCTCACAAAAATGGCTTCTTTCACCCCTCTCTCAAACCAATTCTTCTCCCGAGCCAGAATTTTAACCTCTGTGTCATCCACCGTGTGGTTGGAGGCCTTGAGGTGGAGATGAACAGCCGACTGTGGCCCACTAGAGTTTTCTCTACGATGTTGGTAAAGTCGTTTCTGTAGAGTTTGTTTGGTTTCTCCAATATAGTGGTCAGTGCACTCCTCTTCACTACATTTAATTGAATACACCACATTGCTCTGTTTGTGTCTGGGTGTTTTGTCTTTGGGATGCACTAATTTCTGTCTTAACGTGTTGAAAGGTTTGAAATACACAGGGATTTTGTGTTGCCTAAAGATTCTTTGTAGTTTCTCTGAAACTCCCGCCACATACAAATTAGTGCATCCCAAAGACAAAACACCCAGACACAAACAGAGCAATGTGGTGTATTCAATTAAATGTAGTGAAGAGGAGTGCACTGACCACTATATTGGAGAAACCAAACAAACTCTACAGAAACGACTTTACCAACATCGTAGAGAAAACTCTAGTGGGCCACAGTCGGCTGTTCATCTCCACCTCAAGGCCTCCAACCACACGGTGGATGACACAGAGGTTAAAATTCTGGCTCGGGAGAAGAATTGGTTTGAGAGAGGGGTGAAAGAAGCCATTTTTGTGAGGAAACAAAAACCTTCTCTTAACAGAGGAGGAGGGTTAAGATTTGTTTTGCCTCGCATCTATGACGACATCCTAAAAACAACGCCCTAACTTGGGACAAGGTCAGTGACATGCTAATGAGTTAGGAGGGGTGAGACCTGCACTCCACTTGAGCATCCCAGCAGACAATAGGTCTGTGACATGCTAAGGAGTTAGGGTCGTTAGCCTCAGCAGGGTCGTTAGACCTGCTCCCTTCTACATCAAGCAGACCTTAGATTGTTTACGAGTTGGTATCAGGATTAGGGTGTGGCTTACCACACCCATAGGTTATAAATCTCCAACGCGCGGTCCGAGAATTCATTCCCTGAAGAAGTCCCCAGGTTGAGGACGAAACGTCGGGAAAACTTGCTAAGAAGTACAGATGATGGGTGAGAAACCTTCCTTTGCTTTGACTAATCCCTGTACGACTGAGGGCTTACACAAACAAAAGGATGAAGTAAGATTATTTTTCAAATATTTTATTAACAGATTTTCTGTTGTGCTGTGGCTTGAAACAACAAAGAAAAAAGCTGAAAACACAAGTACTCCCAGAGCCGTCATCTTGACTGCTCCCATTCAAATTAATGTCATTTGAGAAATTTCCCCCAAAAATAGTATAGTTAATTTATTTTTACATCAGATTTATATAAAGCAAGTAATTTATGTGGTTATAAGTGCTAAAACTGATTATTACTTTGAATACAGCAACGCGAACAGTTTGTAGAAAGGCTACCAAATGCTAACTGTTGTCAGTAAACAGTGTGTATCTAAACTGCCAAACAACCTAAAATGGCTACATTTGAATGTTACATTAAAATAGATGATAAAATCCCTCCACTATTTAAAAATAAAAGATAATTAAAAAAAAAAATACATAGAGATATGAACTACATATAGATACTGAAAAGTCACAAAAGACCAAAAATGCTGAGGAATTACACATCCAAAACGAAAAGTCGTAATATTGACTAACCTGAGAGTGTTGATAGTTAAAAAAAAAATTAAATACAAGTTGTATTTTTTTCCAAGAATAAGATAAAAGATATCCTTGTCCCACAGTGGGGATATTTCAGTGTTGCATCACCAGTTACAGAATAGTAGGAAAGAGTATAAGATGAGCAAAAGTGAACAAAGACGCAATCAATCCATTTTATTTATATAGCCTTTTACAACACTCAAGGCACCAAAGAACTTTACAATATAATCCATTAAAAAAATGCTATAATCAAATATATTTCAATCTCTAACTTCAGCATAATAAAGAAGAAAGTATAACATCTCTAACTTTAGTATAATAAAGTACCAAATATAAAATATCTAATGTTAGCCTAATAAAGGAGCAAGTCTAAAATCTCTAACATTAGTATGTATCTGTTCTGTTTGATGTGTGCAATCTGAGTGCTCTTATTTCTTTCTCTGCTGTAATGTGCGCAACGATGACACTGTGGGACGAATAAAGGAATATCTTATTATCTTATCGTGCATGTTAGCAGCATGAGGGTATGGGCTAAAGTGACTAAGTAAAGTGACAGTGGACATATGTGGTTCTATATTGCACATTCTGACATTATTCAAGTTATTGACATGATTATTGAATTATTAAATTAAATTATTGCACAGATGCACGAATTGTGAGGTCAGGTCGGCAGTATTATCCTTGTTTGTCAGTAGTCTGACAGCAGCATGAAGGAAAGAGGGTGGATCAGTTGCTGACACCAGTTTACAAAGTCCTGTGTCAGTCCTCTGTACTCTCAGTCGTCATCCTCGATAATGGGTCTGATGATGGCAGATTCATCAGAGAACTTCTGTCGGACACAACCATCTGCGTTGTGTCTGAGGTCTGCAGTGTAGATAGAGGGTGAAGACTAGGATTAGTGCAAGGATGATCCCCTGGGGCGCACCTACACTACAAAACGAGACCTCAGACGCGAAGCCCCTGGTTCTCACAGGTCTGAGGTCTGTCAGTGAGAGTCTAGGATCCACTCAGGTTGGAGCACTCCCAGTCCCAAGCAAAAATGCAACATTCCCTATCCTTCTTTGTGCTTTAAAATGTTTTAATGCAATTATGGGGGAAAAAATAGAAGCATAAAGAGGACCGGTACGCGTATGTAATGACATGACAACAAGAGACACTGATTTATTGTGGAGTCGTTTTTTAATGGCTGTTTAGCAGGTGTCCTCTCCCAGGACATTTCCAACAATGCGTTCCAAAATAACGATGATAATAAGCACAAAAGAGAACAACAGTTAAAATCAAATCCGCTTTTTACTCATCGATGAAGTCAATCACTGTAGGCTTTCACGTAATTTCCACATTCGGCAATTAACCAATAGAAACTCAAGACACTCAACTTCCAATCAATGGTTCAGCCAATCACAGGCCCTTATGTTACAAGCTCGCAGTTCAGCCATGTTGTGGTTTTGAATAAGGAAGAAGCGGGAGATGTTATTCTTAAACGAGTATATCATATTTTTAAAGTTATATTGAGGGGGCTTTATATGTCAGTGAGTAATTCAAATCCGGAACTTCTTTCCGAATGTGATTTGTTTGACTTATCTCATTCCTAAATGTAATTATACATACTTCCATCTAACTACTAGCTACGGTGCTAACACTGTAAGCTAGCAAGGTAACTTGTTAGCCTAACGTACTAACACTATTATTTTGCACGCTCCGGCTTTTACAGGATATACGAAAGCCTTTAAGCGGTACAATGGTGCATTGTAAAACAAAAATCAGTTGAAGCTCGTTTGAAACACTTATGCAGATTGAATGACGCAAACCAGCCTTTTATTTCTCGATAGCCATATTTGCCGGTTAAACCTCAGCGAGGAAAAGCGTTTTTACCGAAGTCTCCAATCATGATGAATAAAATTTATGAATGGATAGAAACTAGTGTTGCCAGTTTTCGAAACGGTGTCCTCGCAGCACAACCCGCAGATGCTCTAAATGCATCTGGAAATATTCAAAGGAGACGGAAAAGACCGATTGGATGGTAAGCGGAAACTACACTCCACTCTTGTCTGCGGTTATGTGGCAGTCGCACAGTTAATTTCATGTCTTTACCTTGCCTCTACACCTGTTGTAACGTGACCATTGGTCTATTCTTGTGTCTGTTCCAGTGTAGACCATCCTCACGCTAATATCAACGAGGACTCGCATGGCTTAGCACTAAAAAGGTCCCGCATGGGTAAGTTGTTTCACAACAACGCATAATCAGGAGAGGTTGCGTATATTGGCTTCTGATTTCTTTAATTCTTTCTTTAGGAGATATTTTCGATTCCGTGAAAATCGCTGCTCAAGGTGTCAAGAGTCATGGCTCCAGTGTTGCAGCATGGATGAAGATGAACATCAGACCTACTTCAAAAGAGGTGGCTCCTGCTACACCTGCACTTCCACTGAGAGAAGCTGTTCCAACACCCTCAGTGACATCTTCTGTTGTCTGGGCAAGTAAACGAGTAAGTCCTTGGTGTACCATAACTCAAACTGTAGCCATGAATTAACTATTGGTTTGTGTAAGGATTTGGAAAACAATTCACTGGATAAGACTTTTGCTGCTCCTTCTACAACAATGGAGTGGAAATCATCTAAAACCGGTAACTGCCTTACAGGTTAATTTATTGTCTCAAAGTGACCAAATGTTGGTAGAGGTTAGATTTAGTTTCCAGCACAAGATCTCCTCAGGATGTTTATCAGTATTTAAAGCTGAGGTGATTTGGATACCCTGGTTTGTCAAACCTATCTTATGGATTTGTTGCCACATTTTACTACTACGTAGTTATAACTGACTGATCTTTAAAAGGCATATATATAGGTATAAAATTACATCAAAAGTCATAGGAGTCTATTAAGGCATTTTTATGTGCAACTGCATAAATGGTCAAGACTCAAATAGACAATTTGTCAAACAACAAAAAGTGTATGACTACAATCCTTGTAAGAGCTAATATCTGTGCATAAATGTAAAATCATTGTACAATACAATACAATTTATTCTTGTATAGCCCTAAGTCACAACAGAAGTCATCTCAGAGGACTTAACAAAACCATTGAAATCGCACAGGGTGCAAAGAAACGAACACAACATGCAGAAAATAGTTCAGTGGCGTGTATGGTCTTATATGACCATGTATTCACTCAAAGCCGCTCACAGCCGTGTTTTTGTCAGCTGCAGCCGCTAACAACAACAAGAGCGGCCGCGAAGGAGGCAGACCTCAGTCCATAGCAAATAACAGCCCCGTGGTCACGCGTGTATTTTTTTTAAACTTGAAGTCCCAGAGGGCCTACCTGCTCTGATGCCATCTCACACGCAGCATTCTGAGTGATATAATGGATAAATGGGCGGGTCATTCAGACATGCGTTAATTACTTTTTTCATTAACGTGTTAAAACATTTTTACGTGAGTTAACGCAATAATTTTGACAGCCCTAGTTAAAACACATGAAAAATATAAAGCACACACAAAAACATTTCCATACATGTTGTAGAACATGATCATCATCACATCCTTTTTGTTGGACACTAACTGTCCAACATACCCTCCTGCATCGGCAAGGAAAAACTCATAAAAAACCCAGTGGGAAAAAGTTGATTGTAAGTTTATATAGAGGAATCAAACCCTTTATGAATTTGACAAAAATACAAAAGCTTTCTCTGGGGGATTGCGGATAGATTTTTGAACTAAATAAGCAAGACCTCTCTGGCATCTGTCTCACTAGTTTTCTATGCTGGACAGTGGAGGAGGTATCGATCTGCCTTTTCCTTCAATGGTGTCCATGTGGTCTTTTAAGATTCATAAATTGAGAGTTTGACTCTTGGTTGTTCTGTGGGTAATTGCACACTATTGTGCACATACATGTGGTATTGAATAAATGTAAATTTACTTGGATGTTCTTTTTATGTAATGGCCTAGTTTTATATTGTCTGAGAACACGTGTTCTTTGCTCGGCACCAGGAACCATGTGTTCTGACATTTCACATTTCAACTTATTTTCCATAGAACTGTACAGACAAGAAAAGTTCTATTCTGGATCAAAAGTGTGCAGACGACAGACGTGCTTGAGTACTCCACACCGGGAAGGACTGAAAACAAATGGGCACTCTGTCAATATGGTACCCTCAAAGACTCCCAGAGCACATTCCACTCCTCGTTTAGGGAGACCTCTCAACATCAGACCTCAAGGAATACTGAAGTATGTTTATGTATTTATATTTGCTTTATTTGTATTTGTTTGTATTTTATTATATGTTTTTGTGTATCTTACTAGTGGAATGAGTGCCTCAAGCCCATGTACCTCTACATATGAAAATACTTTTCCAATCAAAGTTGTGCAAGGTCCAACAAACATTTCTTCATCTGGGCGCATTCAGCGGGCAAAGCCTCACTGCACTGCACAAGAGGTCAGTTCTAATAGATGTGTGGCAATTAGTATTGGTGTGTAATTGTGTACTCTATGTTTACAAACTATAAGATTCCAAAAGAATATTGTACAATACAGCTCATTAAAATGTTTTGATTTGAATATGTCATTGTTGCAAAAGGCAGCATTATGATGATTATCAGTGATTGTTTAGGTGTATCGTTACACTCCTTATACTTTGAAGGTAATTCTAACTTTAACTTTCCTAACTTGAATGTGTTTTTCTAGTCAATCTGTGAAGAAGAAAAGGAGATCTATCGTCAGCTTTTGTCCATTGTATCAGGTGGCCAGTCAGCCTGTCACACTGGCAACTCTCACGCCATCCTGCGGTCCCATCGAGATTTGTATGAGACCATTTTTTAACACCAAAGCTTATTTTTATATAGCCAACACTTAAACCTTATTGTCTACAGCACAAGTTTTCTGAGTAGCAGCCGGAGATTGCTTCAGAGTTCTTCATCCCCTGTATCCATTGAAGGAGAAATGTCAGACGAACCAAGCAATCCCCCTAGTCCCAGAGACGTGCCAAGCCAGAGTTCTAGTAACCTCCACAGCCCCGTCAATGCCCCAAGCAAAACGGCAAACATCTGGCTCATGGACAATGACTTCAGGTTCACAAACGCAATAACCCGTACATCGCCGTCACCATCTACCGTTCAGGATAGCAGCTCTCAGGACACACAGTCATCAGGTCGACTTCATAATTATAACATCATCATGTACTCTCTAGGAGCGCTTCCCTAACTTCAACTGTGTTGTTTTATAGCTCCTGATGGTGATTCTGTAATTATTGTAAAAGAAGAAAAGGCCAAAATAAAAGACAATGCCAGGTTTGTATTATGATGATGATGTACTATCACAAAATGGTAATCAACATTTTTCTTTTGTTGCAGGTTACCTTGCTTTCAAGCAGAATTATGGATTAAGGAATTGTGAGCATTTGTTGCAAATAAAAAAAAAACATGAACACTAAGATATTACATTAGATGAGATCTAAATGTTTATTTTTTTTTCAGAACTAGTATGTATGATTCTCGCTCAAGAGAAAGACGGAGACAGATTGAGGAACAGGAAGCGCTAGCAGCACAACTCCTTCGGCAGGTAAGCCAAACTATGTAACCCTGTAATGACATTTACATTGAATGTAAAAGCGAAACACTTTTCTGTCTATTTTGTTAGCGACTTAATGAAGAGGAGCCTTACAGTTCACATGTGGAAGTACATGTAAGGGTCCCTTTGGAAAAAGAAGTACCTCTAGCTACAGTTGCAGAAGAACCAAAACAAGTGGACGAAATTCCTGAATTTCCAGAGCTCACGGACGTACGTTTGTCTTCTGTGCTTAGTAAATAATTTAGCTCTCATTTCATACTATTATCATGTATTTTAAGGAAATGGAGGCAGAAATCAACAGGGTGTTAAGGAGTAGTAATCCACATGAAGTTTTAAGTGAAGGTTTTGGCCTCAGCCTCACACGGAAGGATCTGCAGACCCTCAGTAATCTAAACTGGCTCAATGATGAGGTGAGCTGCATCCTAGTGTAATAAACATTAGAGTGCATAAATTAGAGTTTTAACAATTGTGTTCTAATTTAGGTCATCAATTTCTACATGAACCTTTTGGTGGAGCGCAGTAAAGACCCAGCTCTGCCTTCTGTCAACACATTCAACACCTTTTTCTTTCCAAAACTACGAAGCAGTGGTTATTCTGCTGTTAGACGTTGGACAAAAAGGATGGATATTTTTTCGAAAGATATCTTACTTGTACCTGTCCACCTGGGAGTACACTGGTGTCTTTCTGTAAGTAAGAAAACAAAAAATAAGCAACCGTCTGTTGATATTGTAATTGCTTGGCATACATTTATGATTTTTATTTTCATCCTCAGGTTGTGGATTTTCGTAAAAAAAATGTGTTGTATTTCGACTCGATGGGAGGGAATAATGATGAAGCTTGTAGAATTTTGTTGTACGTGAATATTTCTCTCTCTGGCTTACTCATATATATATATATATATATAATATTATTATACTTTTATAATTATTCAATATATGCCCCTCTACAGTGAGTATCTGCAGCAGGAGAGCAAGGACAAGAAGGGAAAAGAAATGGATACCTCAGGCTGGAGTCTACACAGCAAAAAGCGTAATGTAGGTCTTGTATAAAGTGTCTGTACAAATTGCTTTTTAAAAACTGCAATTTCGTATGTTATACCTTTTTGTTATACTTTCAATGTGCACCGAACAGGAGATTCCACAGCAGATGAATGGGAGTGATTGTGGGATGTTCACTTGCAAATATGCAGATTACATCACTAAAGACAAGTCCATCACATTCACACAGGTACTCTATCCATTTGTATCAAATTAATATTGCTAGAGTTTAACATAATTATTATTGTCCTCATTTAGAAACACATGCCATACTTCAGACGGAGGATGGTCTGGGAGATTGTTAACCACAAACTGTTGTGATTGAAGATTTTAAAAACTGCTGCAGCTGCGATAAACATGGCACACAAATCTGAACTTTCTTGGAGCAGTGACATTGGGGGTCATTTACAGCATTTTCACTGGCAGCTATGTCTATGTGTCCCTAAGCCCTTTGCCATAAAGAAGTTTGATAAACCTATTGATGAACAACAAAACTGCCCTGTCACGTTTACATGTATTTTGGGACAAAGACCAGATAGATGCTTGCAGTATTCTAAACAAATGCCAACAGCCGAATATTTCAAATTTGGTTTTGAACTATTGGACGCTTTACCCAGAGTATATATATGTATTCATTTTCATTTGAACAAAATTCTTTTGTAATTGAAATGAAAAAAGAACCAAAACCCTTCAAATTGTCAACTTTGTTCCAAATGTTCTTTATACAACAATGTAAATTAAATGTTAAAGTTTATTTTTTACAGACAAATCTTGGCTTGCCCAAGCTATTTTCAATGTTGTACATAACTTAAAATGGACTTCTTTGAGAATACTGTAATATACTTTTTAAAGACGTTTGTATGTATTTTCTGTTTTATATATTCCAAATCTGTTTTAGAATAAACTGAAGTATTGTGTGCCTCTATTTGCCTCTATAATTTTGTTTATAATTTTATTTACCCAAAAAAATAAATTTGAAAAAATTACTAAAAATCAACAAGATATTTTTCTCAGTTTTGATGGGTTTAGTAGTTCATTTTTTCAAATTCATTTTGGCTTGTGTGAAGGGGAAAACAATATTTTCCCAAAATGTTGCCTGTAGTAGTTAGCTATCATACATTGGGAGCTACTACAGCCATCAAAACAGAGAAAAGTGTTGATTTTTAGGGAATTAAAATTTTCTTTTCCCAAATTCTTGCCTTTAGTAGCTAGCTATTATTTATTGGGAGCTAGATCCATGGAGCTACTACAACCATCACAATAGAGAAATATCTTGGTTGATTTTTAGTTAATTTTTCCAATTTAATGTTGTCTTGTGTTAAAGGGAAAAACATTTCTCCCAAATTCTTACCTGTAGTAGCTAGTTATCATTAAATGGGAGCTTCTACACCCATCAAAACTGAAAAAAATATCTTGGTTGATTTTTTTTTTTAATTTTTCAATTTTTATTTTTGCTTGAAGGAAGGGGAAAACAATATTTTTCCCAAAATGTTGCCTGTAGTAGCTTGTTCATTGGGAGCTACTACACCCATCAAAAATGAGAAAACAGGTTATTAGCTATCATTCTATGGGAGCTGCTGTCTTTGTGGATTTTGTGTTCATTTTTGTAATTTTGGCCACTTGCAATTACGTTTCTGTGCCTCTCGAGAATGAAAAAGAAAGATTGCTCTTTAACTAAAGCTTGAGGGAATCAATGGAAAAAACTTCTCTGGGCATGTGTATGAAGGCCAAATAGCACTGTAATCATGTTTAAACCAGAGAAAGGTCAAAAAGTGTAATATGGGACCTTTCACAGCTTTTTTTCTGCAATGTCATATGCTTCTTGCATTCTCTCTTTACAGTTGATCATATTGTCATCAGTTGCATGTCAATGGGCAAACAGGGAGAACGACCAAAAACAAAGTAACATGAAGCGTAGCCTGTAGCCTCATCTTTTGTGCAGAATCTTGGATGCAAAGTCATTTGTCAGTCACTGTTTTGTTTTTTGTAGCATAGGCTTGAGCAAACCTTATGAGGACAACTACTATGATATACTCATGGCCATTTTTGCATGTGTTTGTTTACTCTTGGCCTTCTTGAGGCACTCGCATTCTTCTGTCACAAATTGTTCAACATCTTTACTCATTTGTGGCCAGTAGTACCTTTCTCTTATTGCATCAAGTGTTCTCTCTACCCCCAAGTGCCCCAAGTGTAGTTCTTTGTAGACCAGGGAGCAGAAGATTTTAAGAAGCAACATCTGCTCTCGGTGCAATGTTTTGCTTGAACAGTGAGACGGCAGCAGGAATTTTATCTTGCTCTACTTGGTTTCTTGCTTTGTGACTTATGCCAGATAACTCTACCCAAGATCTCATCTTCTTGTGCTTTACTAATCAGGTTTGGGGTGTGAGGTGTATTTGTGTTGTAGTCTTTCATCAGTGTTAAGGCACTGACCTGGATCACTCCCACGGCCTGTACCACTGACACAGATTCCATGGATGCACGTTACTCTTGCCTGGACAATAGCGTATGATGAAGTTGTAATCTGCTGGCTTCCCGAGCCATCTGTAGTTTGTTGCATGGAGTTTTGCGGGCGTGAGCACGTATGTTAACGGGTTATTATCTGGAGTGTGTGATGGTAAGTGGCCCTTATCTTTCTGAATAACTCTAGACTTCTCTGCTTGGACTGGGGCGTCATTATCAGGAACAGGGGGACTGAGCAGGCTGTACAACAAATGGGCCACACCTGACACCAAAATCCAGCATTTGGTGAACAGTTACTGGTGTCTTATCTTGCAGTGCTCTCATTGGCGCCATCTCTGTCGGGTCCATGGCCTTGAATTCTCCCATCACCAGCTCTCCAAAGAACTTTACACTGCACCTGAAAAGTAAAAACAATTTTGGGGTCATACCATGCTTTTTTGTAAGGCTGGAGGACCAGATGGATGCGCTCAACACGATCTTCAAAGCTGTTATATGCACTAGGTTGTCATCCAGGTGCGGGAGACAAATTGTGTCTTTGAGGCCAGCCAAACAATTTTCCATGCTTCTCTGGAACACAGACGGTGCAGAAATCAAGCCGAATGGGATGCACACCCATCATCTAGAACAGGGGTTCCCAAAGTTTTTAGCCCGCGACCCCCATCATAAATGCCCTGCTAACCCGCGACCCCCCCCCCCCCCCCCCCCCCCTTTACTCATGTAGTGACACAGTGATGGGCTTGTCAGGCTCCCTCCTCAGCAGAAGTGGAGCGCATTTCTTCGGCTCGCCCTCACTGTTCTCCTACCGCGGTAAAGTGGCCCGGCTTTCCGGAGTCAGCAGTAAAGAGGTACGCACATTAAAAGCGGGCGGCCGCTTTCTGCTGTTACTTTATGCGGTTCATCCCCGCGGCTTCTCTTTCCAAAGTTACTGTCAGTAAAGGCATAAACCGGCCACCCGCTTTTAATGTGCGGACCTCTTTACCTTTGACTCCGAAAAGCCAGGCCTCTTTAACGCGCTGTTCTACCGCTGTCCTCCCTCCCTCTCTCCCTCCGCTGCCCTCTCTCCCTCCTCTGCCCTCTCTCCCTCCGCTGCCCTCTCTCCCTCCTCTGCCCTCTCTCCCTCCTCTGCCCTCTCTCCCTCCTCTGCCCTCTCTCCCTCCTCTGCCCTCTCTCCCTCCTCTGCCCTCTCTCCCTCCGCTGCCCTCTCTCCCTCCTCTGCCCTCTCTCCCTCCTTTGCCCTCTCTCCCTCCTCTGCCCTCTCTCCCTCCTCTGCCCTCTCTCCCTTCTCTGCCCTCTCTCCCTCCTCTGCCCTCTCTCCCTCCTCTGCCCTCTCTCCCTCCTCTGCCCTCTCTCCCTTCTCTGCCCTCTCTCCCTCCGCTGCCCTCTCTCCCTCCTTTGCCCTCTCTCCCTCCGCTGCCCTCTCTCCCTCCTTTGCCCTCTCTCCCTCCTCTGCCCTCTCTCCCTCCGCTGCCCTCTCTCCCTCCTCTGCCCTCTCTCCCTCCTTTGCCCTCTCTCCCTCCTCTGCCCTCTCTCCCTCCTCTGCCCTCTCTCCCTTCTCTGCCCTCTCTCCCTCCTCTGCCCTCTCTCCCTCCTCTGCCCTCTCTCCCTCCTCTGCCCTCTCTCCCTTCTCTGCCCTCTCTCCCTCCGCTGCCCTCTCTCCCTCCTTTGCCCTCTCTCCCTCCTCTGCCCTCTCTCCCTCCACTGCCCTCTCTCCCTCCTCTGCCCTCTCTCCCTCCACTGCCCTCTCTCCCTCCTCTGCCCTCTCTCCCTCCTCTGCCCTCTCTCCCTCCTCTGCCCTCTCTCCCTTCTCTGCCCTCTCTCCCTCCGCTGCCCTCTCTCCCTCCTTTGCCCTCTCTCCCTCCTCTGCCCTCTCTCCCTCCACTGCCCTCTCTCCCTCCTCTGCCCTCTCTCCCTCCTCTGCCCTCTCTCCCTCCTCTGCCCTCTCTCCCTCCACTGCCCTCTCTCCCTCCTCTGCCCTCTCTCCCTCTCTTCGCACCATCAGCCTGACCCCTGATACAAGTGACTTTTCTCCCCCTCCGGGTTTTTCTGTTGTGGATATTAACCACGTTTCATTTTAAAGCAGGTATTATTTATTTGTAGCCTCCAAACACCTTTAGTTTTAGCAAACAACAGCAGGACACGCTTTGTCGCTGCGCATGATGTGAGCTGTGTTACGTGATGATTTTGATTGACGCTGCAATGACTGGGACAAAATTACTGACGTTATTAAAATATATTTTATAAATATATTATAAAATATATATAATAATATATATAAATGCTAAATAAATATTTAAGGGCTTTATATTTGCTCAAAAAAAAATCTTTTTTTTGTGTGTGGAAATCATCTTGCGACCCCCCCAGGGGTTCCCGCGACCCCCCGGGGGGTCGGGACCCCCACTTTGGGAACCACTGATCTAGAAAACGCTGGTGTTACGCTGTTCCTTGGTTTAAGACTTAAAGATGCTATACTTGTTTTTTTATTTTTTTTATTGAGTTCATAAAAATGCCTATTACTACATACATTGATTCAGCTTGTGTATGAATTCAGGCCGCAAAAAGTGTGGAGTAGAGACTTTAGCATGACGCTCGTTCTCCTCCACTCACATAGAACGAGGCTGCGTCCTCTAGCTTCTACAGCGCTGCTAAGCACAGTAGCATGTTAGCAGAATTGGCTCTAATTCCTCTTTCTGAAACTGCACACAGCAAAACAGCCCAAACAACACAACAGTGAGGAAGAGAAGAGGGAACTAAAGCGAAAAAATTATCGAAAAAGAAATCAAGCTCGGATGAACATAGCTAGCTTACATCGTATCCTCTGGAGAGACTTACAGTCTATGGGAGAGACCTGCGGGAGTGGACCA